TTATCTTGTTAAATTTCAAAGAAACATTTCCAGGTTGTCATCGTGACGCACAATAGATGCGACGTATACGGCGAAGCGCTGCATTTATGGATTTTTCCACTTTATTAGACGCATTTGGACTGAAGCGACTTATAGGTTGGTGCGACGTGTAAGGCGGAAAATACAGTAGTTAGCAGAAATATTCTGAAAGGAGTACAAAACAGCTGAAATTAGCTGAAAATAGCTGGAAAAAAGTTTAAACTTGCACAAGGAAGCTGAAAGAAGCTGAAGCAGAACAAAATGTGACAGGAGCAGTAAAAGGTTGTAAACACATCTAAAAATTTGAAGGATGTCAAATGAGCTCAATTCATATTTTATGAGAAAAAAAAATGGCAGAAAAAGGCTAAATATTTCAAAAAGCTAAAACCCAAAAGTCATAGCACTCTTCCGAACGAGCTGAACGTTTTGATATGATTTGTTGAAATAGCTTAAAAACTGCGGGATGAGAATCACGCAGAAAAACGTACGGAAGAAAAATGGATCACAATAGTGTGAATGCTTCATAAACATTCACACTTTTAGCTTTTAGGATTTTAGGAAACCATGATTTTTACACTCCAATTACACTTTACAGAAGTCTCACTTTTAAAATGATGTTAGAAGCAGCAGATTGATCGGTGATGGGTAAAAAAAAAAGGAGCACGAGTCATAACTTTGTGCCAAACTATGTCGGAGTAAACCAGATATGCTTCATTTCAAACGGCAAACTGCTTACAGAATTCAGCATGTGCTCTCAAGATTCTGGGAAATCAAGAGTTAAAATCACCGGTGGAGGACGTTTTCAAGCAGCACTAAGAATCCACACGGATATGGAGTTCCACTGAGTTACTACTGTCACCAAAAAGAAACAAACTCCGCGGCCGCGTCCAGAAATGTCCAGAAAACGTTTCAGTAATTTGCTTTTGTGAAAAACCCTGATGTGTTTGACCTTTCCTGAGGTCTTAGGAACTCGTAACGCGTCCTGCTGGTCAGTGTGAAAGACTATCACATTTCAAAACAATATAAAAAGTTTATTGTGTTGTGTAAAGTAAATATAGAGGCTGGTATTCCCCCCCACACAAGGACAGCACGAGCCCGATCACTGGTAAGACTTGGACTTGTTTTCAGGAGTTCATAATAAATGCAGTACAGATAAAAGCAGAATTTTAATCTGTATATATATATATATATGAAATAAGGTAAGTGAACATTATCTGAGGACTCTCATCTTGAGAAAGGATGAAGGCAACAGTGGAAAGGAAAAACTCCCTCGTGAGGAAGAAACCTCCAGCAGAACCAGGCTCAGGACGAGCGACCATCTGCTTCGACCGGCTGGGTTTGAGAGGAACAGATACACAATGGCAGGTCGAGAATCACATGTTAAGATAGAAGTAGTATCAAATCCAAACTATTCATTTGTATGCATTAGTATTCATTTTAAGAAATTAGGTCAAATTGTCCTCCAGTAGTCTAAGCCTATAGCAGCATAACAAGCCAACCCTAACTATATTATTTATAAAAAAGGAAAGTTTTAAGCCCAGTCTTAAAACTGGACAATGTGTCAGCCTCACGGACAGAAACTGGAAGTTGGTTCCACAAGAGAGGAGCCTGATAACTGAAATATCTTCCTCCCATTCTGCTTTTGGAAACTCTAGGAACCACAAGTAAACCTGCAGTCTGAGAACGAAGTGCTCTGTTAGGAAAATATGGAACAATAAGTTCTGTAATATAAGATGGAGCTAGGTTGTTGAGGGCTTTGTAGCTTAAAAGTAAGATTTTGAATTAAACATGAAAGGAAAACTATTATTATCCAGACTCATGTTAAACTAAAAAAGAAAACTAGACGTGGATTCAACTTTTACAGCCCTCAAACATCACAAAAGTACCACAAAATTCAGGTTTATAGCAAAAAATAAATAAAAGGAGCAGAATAAAAATACCAGGAGACTATAATCAGGCAGAAATCAGCTATTTTGATGCATGGGGTTAGAATTATCAGGAGGCAGTCAGTCCTCATCTTAGCTGCAATTACAACTAATTGCTATAATTATCCAAAAGCAGAATTAGTCCTTTGAATGTGAATAATGTGCAATTCTAAAACACCAGAATCAAGAAACTGAAAGCCAAAAGAGCAACAAAGGCCGACGTGTCTAAACTGTTTCCATTACTTGAACGCAATCAGTTCTAAAATTAGTCGAATGTTGAGGTGCGGCAAAGGATTTAATTGTTTTAAGACGACACTGCGGTTACAGTAAAGATACGCGGTGTCCTCGGTCTGAAGCTGCCAGCTGGATTAAACTCGTCCGATCGGTTCCTGACTGACGAGTCACGATAAAAACGTCCCGTATGAACTACCTGACACATGTAAACAAACTCCCACTCTCCAGTCAGTCCCAGCAACATTTACAGAGGGAGGGGTGCACTATTTAAAGAAGCAGAGTGCACGTTTTCCAAACTCTCTGTAATTACAAGAAATGGGCCCTAAATTACAGAATCTCTATTTAGATTTGATAAGGAAGCACAAGCAGGCTGTGTGCGACGTGGCAAACATAATTTACCCCCAAAAGGCAACAAAAATAAAATATTTTTTCCCTCAGAGGCAGAGAGTTTCAGTTTTGGATAAAATACGTTTCTTTTTCTGTGCAACTTGTTTATGGTTTGGAAGTTTTGCAACAAGTCGTTTGTGTTTCAATGGCGGCTTCAATTATGTAATAAGCTGCTGATTAAAATGGTGGTTCAGTGTGTCACACACACACACACACACACTCGAAGTGAAACAAGCTTCAGTCTTCTCACAGTTCAGGGTTAAAGGCACAAATTTAAAAATAAAACAGGGCGGAGAAAAGAAGCACAGTAACGTAAGAACTGAATGACGGAATGACTTGGATTCAATTTCATGTAGTTTCTAAAAGAAAGCCTTTCTTTGTAAGACTAGGAGTTAAAAATATGTGGGAAAAAGATGTTTAATCTAAAGAGGATTTATTTTCTTTTGGAGAAAATTTGAACATTTTACTTATTACAGCAAACCGCCAAGACAGAGGTAACACTTTATTATTTTGGCCCATGTCTGTGTGTGTGTGTGTGTGGTAATAGCTGAGAGTCATTGAAAACACACACTCCAAGCACTAACACGCGGGTTATTTTCGAGGTTTGACCAGAATGGCTGCAACTGGGTCACTTCTCAACATAAAATGATTTTAATCGAAAATTCGGCCACAAAAGATGGCGGGAGATATGCATCCCTTCCTTCTAGGAATGCGCGATATATACGGTACACAGTAGAAATGCTAGACATTCAGCCTATGATAGAGATCTGTCTTCTACCACCTAACCGCAGTAATGCTGTGTCTGATGTAAAATCAGAGTTGTCAGATTTAATCGTTACTTTTTTTGAGTTGAAAACTGCGTAAGTGGTGTTAAAGTCCTTTCTTCGAGAGCTAAAGTAGCGAAGCTACAAGCTAACTACGGCCGGCTTGCCGTACTCGTATTTGGACGCATGCGCAAAACGTTGTGTTCCGTCAAAAGGTTTTTTTTCGTCTAACGTTCATTGGTCAGTTATAGAAAGTGCATTTGTGCTAAATAAAAAAGGATAAACCTGCTCTCTGATCTGTGAAAAGAACGCTGTGTTGTGTGATTTTACTGCGAGACCCTCTGGTCAAATCCACAGAGGAAACCGGTCGCCATTTTGTGTCAGCTCTCCTTAAAGCGGAAGGAGACGCCCACTAGAGGGTGAAGTGTTTTCAGTGTAAAATGCTGCTGTTCATTTCTTAAGTGAGAAGACTGGAAACTGTTAAAGAGTTAACAACATGTTCTTTTTTTAAAACATATGGCTAAAACTACATTTGATATCTTTTTACTGTTTTGCACTACAAGAAAGAAGCCTAATACTTGATTTGTTTATTATTTAAAAATTCTCTGGACCTAGTGGTGGAATTTTCTTAATTGAGATTATTTTGTGATATAGCAGTTTTCAAAATAAATGATGGCAAAAGGACATCCTAAGCTTTTTTTCATTCCTATTGCAAGTTTTATACCAAAAACATAATGTGATATATATCGTTACCGCCATGCATCACAATACATATTGTGATATGAATTTTATGCCATATTGCACATCCCTACTTCCTCCCTCCTCCTTTTAATTGACACTTGTCTTCGATCTTTTCGATCTGAACGCAGCTGCTGACAGTCTGCAGGCTCTTCGAGTAAACAGCCTGTTTTATTCCACTCGGGCCTCCCTCATAATATCCAGCCCACCGGCATGTTTACAGTCAACTCCAGCATGTTGGAGCTGTTAAAACGCTGCCTGACCCACCCTTCCCCCTCCACGCTCTCCCCAGCTTCTTCCTCACCCCTCGGCCCAACTCAGCACAACAAACCGACCTAAATCAGAACCTTTTAAGCACATGGACCTTGGTATAACGTCAGGTGGCGGAGGCAACCTGAAAAGTGTCAACTTACATTTGATCAACGTACGACTGCAGTTAATTCCCCACCCTGGTCAGATTACACCACGGGCTGCTGAGAAAGAAAAAAGCCTTGCAGGTTTAGCGTGAGGACAGCGAAGGCCAGATGTGGCTGAGCTGGTCAGCAATGGTTCTGATTTAGTGGACCAGGGCGAAGGACTTTTAGGGATTGTAAGGAATTGTCGGCTCGTGTCCATTAATTCAGCTGAAAAGCCAATCGGAGTGATCTCCCTCGCAGACAGACTCAGTGCTGATCCAACACGTTGAATCAACTGAAAAAAACGTTGACGGGTTCTGCAGAGGCAACGACGCATTGCAAACAGAAAAGGCGAGAGAAACGGGCGTTAACGGACAGACTCGGAGTGCACTGGAAGAGGGAAAAGCTTTTCTTCAGATACTCCTGCAGTTTAGATTCTGCAAAGCTTTGTTTGTTTAAAAATGTTTATGTGGTGAAGTTTTAAGCTGCAAAACCTGCAAACTTTTACACAACAGTGTAAAAATGGACCGTGGTCCCACCTGTCTGAACTGCTCCTCATAGGTCCATTCTCCGTGGTCCTGCCCACCCAGGTGGCTGTGGGGGGCATGGGGAGGCAAGATGGCGACACGGGGCTCCTGCTCCACGCTGGGACGGCCCTTCAGCATTTGGGGATGGGGGTGTAGCTGACGGTGGGGCAGCAGAAGGATGCCCTTCCCAGGAGCAATGGCGTCGTGACCCGTCGGCAGACCTTCATCCGCCAGGTCATCGTCGTAGTCTTCGTCCATTTCGCTTTCGAAGTCCCCCTCGTCCCATTTCTGTTTGCTGCTTGTTTGTTGGTTAGAGCCATAACATTGTTTGGTAAACACACATTTTATTTTAGAACGTTTTGGAAATCTTAACCACCCCTCAAAGAGTCTGTACTTACATCTGTTCTTCTTCATCGGAGCCCATCATGTCCTTGTACTGTTCCTCCCCTTCGTCGTCGTTGTCGTCTTCGCGCTCCTCCTCGCCGCCGCTGCTGCGCTTTGACATGGGGCTGTCCGAGACCCTCTGCAGTCCGGCCGCAGCCGCTCGCATGGCTGCCAAGGCTGCCATTTGTGCCTGCTCTCCCTCCGGGGCCGGGCTCTCCATCGGCTCATAACCAGTACGGATCTGAGGATGCTGGCCGATGGCCTGCTGCTGCAGCTGCTGCTCCATCAGTAGTTTGGCCCTCTGCTGCCTGTGCAGGTTCTCCATGACGGCCTGCAGCTTCATCTCCGGGGAAAGTAGCACTGAGCTCAGCAGCCTTCCTTCCCCTCCTTACCCCACCGAAAGAGCACCGGCCGGGTCCTTATCAGGGAACGGCGATCAAACCTTCTTATCAGGGAAGAACAACTACAAACTGCGTCTTTGACGGAACAATGTTTGAAGGTTTGGGGTGTGTGGAAAAGTTTGAGGAGAAGTGGGGGGAGGCGAGACAGGTGAGGAGCTTTGAGACATGCAGTCGAAGGTCAGACGTAGTTCTGGAGACAAAATGTTTGTGCGTGTTTCAGTGTTTTCCTGTAGAGATGAGGGGGAAACCGAAGCTGGAGCCGAGGTTGAGTCATCCAGTATTCAGTGAGGCACGAGCAGGAGCAGTGAAGGTGGGAGTTGAAAACCTCGCTGACAGATTACAAAGACCTAAGGGAGACAAAGAATAGCACAGTGTCAAACCGCTGCTCCCCTACCATTTACACCAGTAACCTGAGCTTAAAAGCAAGAGGGCTTTATGTTGTAGTGGTGCCAGAACTGTTAAATCAGGCCTTGTCAACATGGGAACTATCCGCCACCACCAGACAATCTTTTTATTTGTTGTTTATAAAAATTACCTATGGTATTTTTCGGCCTATAAGTCACATTTTTTTGCATAATTTGCATGTCCTGCGACGCCAAAGCGACATATTTATGGATTTTTTCCCATATTTATAAACCAATTTTTGGCTGATATATGAACGTTTTCATTCATTCTGACATCTGATAGTGAACACTACCATTTTCAGCCTCTGGATAGCACTCGAGTTGTATAGCATGCCGTTGTGTCATGTAATAGGTAAAAAGTGGCTATTAATGGCACAATCGGCTTGCTATAGAAGCCACCTTTGTTCTGCTCACCTGGAGCAACCTTCAAATCAGCTTCATTTCACTGCGCCACACCGATGAAATGCAGCTAATTTGACCATTGAAGTGCATTTATTAAGTAAAAGTTCAACTGAGACACACCTTTACTATAATGTCGTGCAAACAAATTATTGTTTTAGGTGCTTATCTTGTTAAATTTCAAAGAAATGCATAGCGAGTCACCCTCTGCGCGTTCATGTTTCCGCGTATCGGCTTTTGAAAATGCAGCTGATTTGATCGTCAAAGTGTGTTTATTAAGGAAAAGTTAGACTGAGGCACACCTTTACAATAATTTCGAGCAAACAAATAATTGTTATTAAGTGTTAATCTTGTTAAATTCTTCTTAAAATCCTCCCGTGCGTGCCATTTGGCAGCCAATCAATTTTTGGCACAACACCGGCCCACATTTCCGGGTTGTCAGCAGCGACACGTAACAACCGCAACGCGTCAGCGGTGACGCATAATAGACGCTACGTATTTATGGATTTTCCCACTTTATTAGACATATTTGGACTGAAGCGACTTACACGGCGGTGTAACGTGTACGGCGGAAAATACAGTATTTATGCTAGCAAACCTCACCCTGTAGATGAGGTGCAACTCTTCCCTTGCTCGAACTTTTGGATTTTTAATGCACTGGTTTTGATTTACGGGAAGACTTTTATTTCTGATATAGGGTGAAGTGACTTGCAGAATATCAAACAACTACAGCAATGACTGCAAAGACGCCCCGCCAACTCAAATCACATGCAAAGAAAATGTGACCAAGAAGAAAATGCTCATTTTCACACACAAAAATGCAAATTTCAATGCAACCCGTCACACAGAGACACACATAGAGTCCCAGAGATGATATCTGCTGTGCAGCATGAGCAGGATTACTCACATATGAAACAGATCTGACAAGCTGCTGCTCACAGGGGACAAGAAGTTTAAAACTTAAGAGGAAGTGAAATCACAGGAAGAAACAGAAAATGTCTTCACCTAGTTTGGCTTGAAATCAATATAAATTTTAGCTCACCAGCACAAAAGCACAAATGACATCAAGTCAAGTTCAGTGAAATTTTAAGATATTGCTTCGCTCACATTTGGTAGATTTACACATCTACCCCTTTTTATTTTGCTTTCGAGACACACTGGGGGGAGTATTCCTGCGATGTTTAGGTGGCAACACTTCCCGTAGACACCTGCACCTCAGACACCTCAGGTATGCAAAGCAGTGTCTGCTATAAGCAAAGCGCTCCAACTTTCTAGTATCAAGAAAATCTTTCTCCCTATTGTTAAGGGCCACGACACAACAATGAACCCCGTTAATCTTTGTTTACCCAGAACGTGCTTAAAAAGAAGTCTGGGTTTGTGGTGGGGGGGAAGGAGTCTGTCCCCAGATCAGACAGGTACAGATAAGAGTTGAACACAAAGTCAACAGCGCGTGGGGAAATTAGATTTGAGTACAGGTGCTGGACCTGATGGGAGCTGGCGGGGACTGTTGGGAACCATTCATTCAGCCGTGATGACTAATACATGAAGAGCCAGACTGCCGTGACCACCACCCGCCCACGTCTCAACCTCTCAGTAACTGGTTTCACTGGGTTTACCTCGAAACACACCTGGAATTATGCGTGTTCTTTTACATAGATCACAATTATACTCATCACAATTTCAAGCCATGCTTTCTCCTTCCTGATAAGGCTAATCGACAAAAGCAAAACACAAAAACTGCTACAATTCAGCCAATTTCACAATTTATCAGCTAAAATTTGGTGCAGTAGAAGCTGATGTCATTCACAACTCAAGGCTCAGACCATAATATCTTGCAAAATATTATCAAGGTTAAAGAAAATTGGCCACAAATTAGGGCTGGACAATAATTCGATATTGATATATATCACGATATAATTTTATTCAATAACATAATAATATGAGCTTTAAGCACATTTTCGATATTTTGATATATATTACAGTGTTTCACTGACGCATTTCTTTTTTTGTTCGGGTTGAAGCAGCCACGTCAGTTTCAACCCGAACAGAAAAAGGCGTGACACAACTACGTAAGTGCGTGGTGACGTACACCACAGCTCGAAGGAGTCAGCGCTAGCAGGCTAGGCTAGGCTAAGCTAGGCTAAGCTAAGCTCCAACGTACGGTAAGTTTTCTCTTCAAAATGAGTGTCCATGACCGTCAGAACGTGACTGAACAAGCTTTCACAAACGAAGGGAAAGCAGATAACACAGCTGTATCAAGAGAAAAGGTTAGGTTATGTTGTTGTTGAAAGTTAAAACTATTAATATTGACAAAGTTGAGAGTTTTATATTTATTTGACGGTGATTTCAAATTTCTTTGAAGGCTAAGTAAATACAAATAAAAGGTGAACGTTAATTCATTTGTACAGTTTGTACAGTTTTTCCGAGGCTTTTATATTGTTTATATCGATATCAGAATTATATCGTTATCGACATAAAGCAAGAAACGTATCGTGATTAAAGTTTTGGCCACATCGTCCAACCCTACCACAAATCCATCATTTCTCATCCCAGGATGGACTTAGCCCAACATGTTTTCTTTGTAAACAGCTGATGCTCGTCCGTATTAGAGCTGAGCACATTCATGACAGCCCTTGAATAAAACATCCTCTCCAAAACAACCATTGAGTCAGCACACCTTCAAGGTAAAACCAGTCTTTAAAGTGCTACCACATTAAGCTGTGCTGAGCTACCAAAAAAGTGACCACCGCAGCACTCTTCGCCCACAATAAACCCCATCATTACAAGGCAGGTATTATTTTCTCTCAGGAGAGGAGGGGTTATTTCCCCCCCACTGGAATTAAAACAGAAAATCTTCCTAGAGTGTAGCTACAGTGGTATAATCACATTTAAGCATAATAAGAGCACAAGAGAAGCATAAACAGAACACATACTCGTCAAGTCCAAGGCCTCGGTGTTGCAAATGAAAACCTACAGACGTTATGCCTCCATTCACAGGAAAATGGACCAATTTCCATATCTTGTGTTTACACAGGCGTGAATATAAAACGAGAGCGGAGGCAACACCCACAAACATCACATCCTGGTAATCATTGTTGCTCTGTGAGGCATCTCGACCACTGGATTGTTTTCTTTTAATTGGTGATCCAAGTGGAAAATGCCAAGGTGTGTAACACTACACAGGTCTGACTCATCCTCGACACTAAACTTTATGTTTACACAATATCAATGATCTGAAGTTTGCACGACAATAAGGCGCATCGGTAGTGATGGATCACACTGATGAGACGCGTCGGTGGACGGGGTTTCTGTCCCCTCATGAGACGGATACAACCCCAAGTCTAAAAAAAAAATTTGGGGCTTCTTGTATAAAATGTAAATAAAAACTGAATGTAATGAGTTCAAAAGATATGGAACAGAGTAAAAACAAATATTTAAACCAAAGACGATATCATTTTCTTGGCAAATAAAAGGTAAGCTTGAATTTTATGGCAGCAAAAATTAAATTAAATTAAATTAAAAAGTGGGGACAGGGTCAACAAAAGGTTATAAAAGGAAAGGATACAAATAAGAAACCACCGGAGGAGCATTTTGCAACTAATTAACTTAATTGAGCCAAAAGGTCAGCAGGAGGACTGGGTATAAAACGAGCATTTTAGAGAGGCTGAATCTCTCAGAAGTAAAGATGGACAGAGATCGACTGTTTAAAATAGAGAATAATGGTCCACTGTGGAAAATTGGGAGGACTCTGAATACCCCATCATCTACACTTCACAATACAAACAAAAGATTTCAGGAATCTGAAGAAATCTCTGAGCTCAAAGGACAACACTGGATGGTCATGATATTCAGGCCCTCAGGGGCCACTTAATGAGAACAGGTCAGATTCTGTTCTGGACATGAGCTCACGAACACTTACACAAATCATTGCCTGTAAACATTAGCTACGTTTACATGCACAAAATTCTTTGATCGGATTGAAATGTATTCAACGACAGGTTTTAACGACGGTGGAGACGTTACTGCACTCCCTGGTTGAGCTACAGGTAACACAGATCATTCTGAGCTCTTTCAAAGTTTCTAGTAGAAATGTTGGATCGCTCACAGACTAAATTTGCGTCCCCGACATTTTAGCGTCAAGCCAGGCGGAAATACGTGAGGTTGACAGGTCGCACATGCGCAGTCAGGTCAGTTTTCCACGATCAAAATAAAACGATCAGATTAAGTGTTTACATGC